CGCTGCAGCTGTCAAAACATGAAATTACACATTGAAATGGAGGATATTATATTGAAATGGAATGGAGGATAAACATGAAATTACACATTGAAATGGAGGATATCCCCATACTCATCGAACGAGTGGCGGGTGTTTTTGTTTCATCTCTCGTTTCGTCATAATAATTTTTCTCTATTGCCTTGCATTTTATTCATTACCTTGAGTTCTCAACCGTTGATAGGTATCTATACTTCATTTTGAGTTCCTCATACTCGAGATTCTATTGGATTCCCGTTCTGTTTCCATTCTTCACTCTTTTTTCGCAGCCCCCACAGGCCACACGTTCACCGAGATCGAATATTATTGATTTGACTGTCATGGCCAGGGGCAGTAAGAGGAAATCTGTTGAAGATGAAGTCCCACAGGATATGCCTGTCTGGGCAACGAAAATGATAGAAATGTATGAGTCGTGCTGTGAGAGGATCGAAAGAGCTCTGACGTCGTCCTTAGATAAAATGGTTGCCACGATAGCCAGGATAGATCAGGTGCAGCAGACCATTCTTTCGAGGTTGTCCGCCGTTGAAGCCAGCATTGAAGCACTCAGAACTTCTTCACCGATGGATCAAAGCACACTATATTCTACGATTGTGAAAGTGCGAGCTGACGAAACGAAAATCGAGGATAAACTTCGCAGGATTGCGTGGGTCGGCATTGGCGAGCAGAGGGACGACGTGGCCACTCGGAAGTTTGACTACGAGGCCCTCAAAGAGGTTATTGAAACATCTGGCGATAAGGAGTTGCAGGCGGAATTTCAGAAGGGCGCCATTGTTTTGCATCGTCATCCTAAAGGGCAACCTAGGGGAGTCAATGCAAGAGGTCGAATCATTAAGATAGATCTTCCGTCTAAAGCCCTGAAAGACCGGCTGCTTCGACACATGAGGTCTGGGAGGCAGAGTCTGACTAAGGACTATGTCCATTTCAGTACAGTGGATGTGGGCGGCCGCAGACATCACGGAACAGGACTTACCATTTCGACAGCTAGCGTTGAGAAACCAGCAGGCGACTGACATCTATGAAGGGCAGGGATAACTCTCTACGTCGTTTCGAAGACTTGAAAGCTCCAATAATGGCCTCAGAAATCCTATTGAGAGTTTACGCTGTCAATCCACCCTGCAACAAACCACTCACTCCAAGCATCAGCCGATTAATATCCTCCAACCCCCTCGCAAGCTGTTACCTGCCCGGCATACGTCGGGATTCTATCTCGTCAGGCACATAGGGTCCTCGCACACCTAGTCACGAGCATATTGCTGATTCTAGACTCATCGTTGATAATGTCACAGCAGTCCAGGGGACTTGGCTTCTAGGGATGCGGTCCCTCATTTACTTGGGGGTTCTATTCGGGTCGGGCAGCATCCTCAATCACAATGGCAACAGTTGTTATCTCGCTCGAACTTCGCGTTAATCAACACGACAAGCTTCCTGACGCTCGTACATATCTCCTAAATCTCGTCCTAACAGCTGTCCCTTCATCACGGAAATCTTGGTGTAATCTCACTTGATTTTTCATGACTCAACAGCTCTGCCGGTTCCCCCTACCTAAGATTTCCCTTTTTTGTTCGAGCTGGGTGAGCCCGTGAGGGTGAAATTATTGGGGGTTTTAGTGTTCTGTGGCTCAATTCACAATTCTATCCCTGCCGTGTTACTTGCTTCTTCAAATCTTTCTCCATATATTCAATGTCTCACTATTCAAATGGAGATATCGGTTTCAACTGTCACTGTGGTCACATGCTATCGCAGTCCCTCTTCTATTGATAGCTTTCAAAAACTGATCACTTATTTCGAGGAATTGAGTCAGGATAGAAACTCTACTATAATTTTGGGGGACTTCAACCTTCCTGGTATTCATTGGGAACGGTCTACACATTTGGCTGTCAAAAAGTCAAACACCGCTATGTCTGAGCTTCTGTACAACTTTGCACAATCTAACAATTTCGAACAGTATGTCAATCGACCGACTCATGGTGACAGCATTCTTGATTTGATTTTCTCAAATAGCTCATCTCTCCTCTCCAATGTTGAAGTTAGGGCCCCATTCTCCTCATCCGATCATGCCTCTGTGTATTTCTCATTGACAAGCGACTTTCCCATCTCCTCCTCCTCTAAGAGTCGTGAATGATTTTGCTAATGGGGATTACGGTGAAATTTGTGAGCTACTGTCGCGTGTTGATTGGCGGAATGTGTTCGATTCCTTTGAGACTTCGAGCCAGTGCTATGATGCTCTTTTAAATTTCTGTTATGAGCTAATAGAAAAATTTGTACCTTTTTTCTACGAAAGAAACAATGTCTAGGAAAGAGCCTCGACAGATATCCTTTTTAAAAGTCCGTGTGGCACGGTTGTACAAGAACGGGCAGGGGGTTTATGATCCAGTATATTCAAAAGCAGTTAAAGCACTCAAAAAGAAATTGGAAAAGCTCAAAAGTAGGATATGAGACAAATAGCTTCATCAAGACAAATCCTAAAGATTTTGGAAGTATTGCCACACCAGACTGAAAGAATCCTCTAGAGTAGGCAATGTTACAGGTCCAAATGGTAAGAGCTGCTTCCTCGATGCAGAAAAGGCTAAACTTTTTGCGGACTATTTCAAAACCTTCTATAGTGGCAGGCCCGTAGAGCCTGTTATGCAGCCTTCGCTGCCACAAGCCTACTTACTGATTGAATGATTAGTTGTGGACCGACGTGTACGTGCAGTTAAATTAGCTTGCCACGCCGTCATAACCAACTTCGCCGAATCCTACCGTTAACATTTCCTTCGCGAAGTGTCCTATTGGGGCTGACTCTTCTCTGACTCATGTTATTTCATAAATCCTTTTGAAAGTGCGATGTTCGCTAAATTTGGCGACTGGGCGGGTCAAGCCCATTATATAAAATAGGTTCAAGATAAACGAAATAGGATATTAGGACCAATTTGTCTGACATCCTGTGTTAGTAAGGTAATGGAAAGGATCGTATGCTCCCGCATTAAAGAATATCTTGTAAAGAACCAGCTCATTTCTCCTTGTCAGCATGGATTCCTTTCCAGGAAGTCCTGTTTTAGCGCGCTTATTTCTACTATTCCTTTAGCGCAAAGAGCCGTCGATAAGGCCCCAAGCAATATGTCTTTCTGGCATTCATTGATTTCAAGAAAGCTTTTGATTCAATCCCGCTCAATCTTTTGTTTTCTAAGCTTAGAACCTTCGGCATCTCCGGTTCCTTACATAAATTTCTTGTATCGTTTCTAACCGGTAGAGAGCAAGCCGTCATGATTAATGACTGTTTATCTGAGCCTTACGAGACACTGAGCGGAGTGCCCCAGGGTACATGTTTGGGCCTCTGCAATGTCGCTTATGTACATTAACGATTCTTCCTACTTCTTGCCCGCTTTAGTAGGCTGCACAATGTATGCAGACGATGTCAAGTTGTTTTCGATTGGTGATCCGCGCTTATTGCAGGTTTCACTTGAAGCGCTGCATCAGTGGTCTCTCACTTGGGGGTTGGAAATATCACCCGACAAAACTTATGTGATGAAACTTGGGCCGTGTTCCAGTGACATTCACTTCCTTATTGATGGTATTCGGATAACCGAGCCACCAATTATTAGGGACCTTGGCGTCAAGTATAATAATTGTCCTATCCTTCGATGACTATATAAAGAACATTGTGAATATAGCCAAATCTAGGAGGTGGCGAATTTCTTCTACGGGCCCTCTCTTAGCAGAAGCATAAAAACGCTCTTCACGCTTTTCACGGCTTACGTTAGGCCCCTTTTGGAGTACTGTGCACCGGTTTGGTCGCCTTCGACTAGGTGTTTAGTGGAACAGATAGAGCAGGTTCAGATCAGTTTCACAAACAGAATATTTGCTAGAGCAGGCCTTTTTCACGTCCCTTATGAAGAACCGTCTTGCTCTATTGGCTCGACAACTCTCTCGAATGGCGGCGGAGAAAAATTATGGATCTTGACGCCTTATTTAAGTTGTTCAAGGGAGAAATCGATGTTGATATCGACCAACTTTTTAGAAAATCTGTAACTACGGGCGTAACGCGAGGTCACTGTTTCAAGTTACTTAGAGAAAAAACTCGTTCGAGCAGTTATAAGGAGAGTTTCTCGCAGAGAGTTATCTCCTTCTGGAATAGTCTGCCAGCCGAGGTTGTTAATTCCATGTCGTCTAGGTCTTCAAAGAACGGCTAGGAGCTACTCAGAAAGCAGGGCTGGCACTGAGTTATGGTCTAACTAAGCTGAAGCTCAAGGACAGTTGCAAATTTTGTTTATATGTTTCTTTGTTGCATGTTCTGTGTGTGCTTTTCTTATGTTGGCTTGCCTTTGCTGTGAGCTTGCGTTCGGGCTCGCTTTCTCTTTTGTTTTCTTCACGTGTGTATTCTTCTATGTCAATTTCCCTAACCTCATGTTCAGTTTTACAGTTCTTGTCAGCAATGTGCTCGAATAGTATAATTACTATCCTTAGCTTTTTCTCGTTCGTATTTAGCTGTGTCCTGAACGATTGCTTTATGTCCTACTATACATGGCGTGCTATGTAATCCCTCAAAATTCTCGCCTGATCCCCTCCCAATGAGGTGGACCTTGGTGGTGTTGACGGACCTACTAAGCTGGTATCCGGAGCCGCTCCGAACTCTCGCGACTTGCAGTGTTGGCGGGCCACTGCTCTTCATCAGCCAACGGCTTCGCACACCTACCCCCCCTCTCCCCCCTTTGAGCCTCTTGCACTTTTGTTCTATTGTCCAGATGTTTATCGGTCACGCAAGCGATAAATCAGTGTTGTTCTGTTTGTGTTACTAACCGATAAATAATATCAAACATGAAATTACGCCACCTGGTAGAACGTGCTTCACCCAGTGGATGAAGGTCATCCTCCTGCTTCCCTCCTTCGTCCCAGGTTTCTTGATTGTGCACAGGTGTCTCACTCAAGTATTCGTCCAATCCAGATTTATGTTTCCTCCAAAGCTCATGTACTGTAATCACGAAATGAATCTCAAAATAGGATTCGAATTGCAGGTTCATGCGTTGCCGGAGTCGTTGGTTCTAAGCATGCCACGTTACTGTCTATTCGGTGACACCGTTAATACAGCATCAAGAATGGAAAGCAACGGAAAACGTATGTTTAATGACTAATAAAAATATATTTGAATGGGCGCTGTTTGGCGACGGGGGGGGCATTTTGCACTTCAACAACGACTTCTAGACAGCCTCTTCTCGAGTTGACAGGTTTTACCATGATGGCTTGACGAGCTTGCTCCAGCTTCACAAGAGTTCACAGGTTTCACCAGAGTGAGACTTGTAAACCAGAACTAGTGAAGCAACGAAAGTGCAAAATGCCCCCCCCCCGCGTCGGCAAACTGCGCCATTGAATGTCCATGTGAGCGATGAGCAAGGCTACTCAAAGGCTTGAAAAGGGACAAAAGCAGTCAAGGGTTCCGGCAGTCAAGGGACTGGTGCCCGTTTGGGAGAGCGCAAACCTCATCCCTATCGTGGGGTGCCTCTATAGCTCAGTGGCAGAGCGTCTTTCCGTAAACAGAAGGTCTGCGGTTCAATCCCGCATGGAGGCATTTTTTTTGCAGAGCGCATATGCATCGTCAAAACTATATCGTCACCTAGCTATACAGCCACACACTTCACACTTGGTTCTTTGGGGATCCCGAACTGGAGGGGAGGGAGCCGTATTTGTCCTGAAAGCGGTCCTGGCGTAGGATACGCCGGGAAACCTATTGAGGGGTGTCCATAGAAGTAGACGGCCGTCCATTCGCTTGTTTGACATTCCGTGGATGTCCAGTCGGTAATCGGAAATAGTAACAGGAGTTATGACTATCCTGCCGAGCATGCAAGAAGACATATGATGGAAAATACCTACAGCTTGGAGGGAGTTATAGCTTGCAGTAGCTGTAACGTCCCACTTTGGCTGGGTTCATACTTTGCGACAGCACCCACCAGCGTCCACCAGCGACCACTAGCGTTCCGGCAGCGTCAGCGATTAGGAAAGTATAGATATCGATCTAGCGTCTGCCAGCGTCTACCAGCGCCCACCAGCGTCTACGTCTCGAGGCATGTACGGTGTAGTGTAGCTGTACAGTGCGGTTGCACACGCCGCTACTTCACGACGTCTAATCCAGCTGCCTGCTACTCTCCTACTTCCTCATACTCTTTACTCCCGGTAGCGTGAACGCTGGTGGATGGGCTGTCGCTAGATCAATATCCATACTTTCCCAGTCGCTCAAGACGCTGACGAACGGTCGAAACGATGGTCGCTGGTGGACGCTGGTGGACGCTGCCGCAAAGTATGAACGCAGCCTTTCTCGGCTCAAAAGTGCATTGGAACGGGACTGGAGGGGAGGGATACTGATACCTCCTAATTGTAGTTTTACCACAAGTGTCCCTCGAGAGGGGCCTACTCTATAGTCGAGATTATCAAAAAAAAGCAAATGCTTTGCTACCATTCCAGAGTATGGCCAAGAGTCGCTCATTAGTGACCCCTCTCGAGGCAATAGCACCTTCCAGTATCTGATAATATGGTTTCAGCTGGGAAAATTCATCTCAGCGAGAGTGCCTTTATGCTATTACAGCAACATTATCATGGTGAATATGCTTTAGAAAGCCGCGGTGAAATTATCATCAAGGTTGGTGTTTGACGTTGAATCATAATAATTCATATTTGTCTAGAAACGATAACATCTGTCTATTTACAGGGTAAAGGCGTAATGAAAACATTTTGGTTGAATGGACGAAGATCGCCTTCACATCGGAATCGCAGCGTTCCCAAGACTACACAAACCTGATTAGTCATAGAGAATGAGGATAGATTGTTGAATGTAGTCACTGCTCTTACATATGTATAAATTTTTCAGACTCAGACTTTACTAAGTCTTATTTATCTCTTATGCTTTATTAGGAAATTTGAATTGTTGCTAGAGTCTCGTCGTTCGCTTTCTCAACGCCGCATTCAGAGGCCACTGTCCTAAGTCCATATTAAGATAAATTTCTTGATGGACCCACTTACACATGCCAGTCAGTGAGGATTAAATTCGATAATAAAAAAAAAAAAAAAAAAACCAGTGGATAGCCGAGCCATCTAACCCGTAATACACTAAATATAGGGCGCTGTTGCGCCGACCGCGGAAAGGGTCATTTTGTACTTTAACGACTTCCCATCGACTTGTCGACCCATCTATCAGCCTTTTCTCGAGTTGACGGGTTTTACCATGAGTTTTACCGTGGCGACGAGCTTGCTCAGCTTTCATCATGTTCAGTATGAGATTTTAACTCAGAACTACGTGAAAAAGTGCAAAATGCCACCCCCCCACCGCCTCCCTTCGGCAACCGCGCCCTAAATTGGGTATCGGACTTGGATAAGAAGAAGATAACATTGGCCTTTGCAATAGGGCTTTGAGCTTAGCGGGACGGTGAAAGACGGACCGCTGACAAACCGGAAACTAGTTGGTGCATGTCATCGTATAGGCCGCATCTCGTCCAAACTGACACTACGATTCTGAGTGAAAATAGAAGGCATGACGCTTCCAAAAAAACACTGATGGATGGCAAAAGCTTAGCCTTCCTCGATTCATGCTCCTGCCATGGGGCTATAAAAGCTAGGGCGTCGTCTGGCATGGACCGAGTGAACAAAGTCATTAATGTAACAAAACCCATTCCCCTTTCAGATCTTTAATGACGAATTTCAAAGGCATTGACCGATAACATTAAATTAATATTGAATATTTAGAGTTACATAGTACAATATGGAGATTATTGTCATGTCATCGTCACTAATGTATCATCTGCCATCTTGTTGGTTCCTACCACCAAAAGCAAGAAAATGATTAGTGAAAAGTGTGATCTGGATATTGAGCGCCTCTATAGCTCAGTGCAGCAGCGTCTGTCTTCGTAACAGCCAAGGTTGACGGTTCAATCCCGCAGCCCAGGCGACACCTCCGATTATCAGGATCCTCTGCATATACATTGCTGTCGAAATGCATATCTCAGTCACCACATGCAACCCATACGCCTGCTCGCTATGGTCTAACAATAAGTAACCTCCGCAAGTACTTCTAACTACCCTAATGAGTAAGACTGTAATCATCACTGCCCCGAATCTCAATAGGACTTTCTCTCTTATAGTTAGCTTTCCTTAACACTAATCATAAATTTCCTAATCCTACGCCCACGCACGGACTTGATATGAACTATTTCCTTATCTGCATCTGCTATTCTCAGGGGCGAGGAGCCCAATAAAAACATTATTATTGATCACATATCAGTAATATTACGCGCAAGCTTACACAGAAGTGGATACGAGCCAGGGCAAAAGATACCCAAGATGTTCCTCGATAAGCAGGAGCTGGCTCTCGCCCATCACCTTCATGTACACCAAAATATGAAGTCATCTCCAGTCGCAGCCTGACTGGAGAAGACCTTTGGAATTCATGTCACCTCCAAACAGCTGCGAAACTTCTAGTATGGAGTCACCCATGGACAGCTACCTGGAGACCGGCACTCTTGATCTGGAAGACCTCCAACATCGAGCAGCTCCGACAACGTCGCTACGGTCCAGGATATCATCTTCACCGCAGTCGCCAAGGCGCGTTGATGGTATGGACCGGAAGTTCCTGGAATGGGGTGAACCGATATTTTCTTCGTGAACCCTGGACTGAAGGTGAGCGCTGACGGTTACATCGACCAACTTTGGGGGAACATCCTGCCTTCATGTCGTTGCCTGATTGCTACAGGATTGGGTGCCAGCACGTGGAATCGAAGGGCGTTGGGAAAACTCCCGCCTACTTGGAATCGAAGGGCGTTGAGAACCTGAAGAAGACGGAATATCCAAGTGTGTCACCTGACCTAAACCCCCTCGATTACCCGGTTCGGGCGGAGCTCAACAGGGTGGTCTACAGTGGCGGAGAAATCAACGATCTCGCTGAACTCAGGCACCCACTCACGGTCGAGGCTGTGGCGGAGTATCATGATAGTATTTGATATGCTATGTATAAGTAATATCGTAGTAACTGCCTTCGAAGAGCAGTTCCTGCGGTCCAAGTGGTCTGCACGCCTGCCGTACATTGGCATGCGCCAAAGGTTACGTTCACATATGTTGGGTGCTGCGAGGTACATTGTTCGCTGTACACCCTCCATTTTGCCGAGTACTGGAACCGCGCAAAAAACGCTCCCTTACTTGCAAAGGGAGATCAAAATCTTAGATTTGGCCAGGAAGATGGGCCTTAGATTAGTTTTGGCTCCCTGAATACGAGGTACGACACGCGCGTGTGGCCACGAAAGATGGCTCGTTAGGGCGCGTGCTTATGTGCTGTACTGAAATTCTTCTCTCTAAGGGCGCCGGGAGCTCTGCACATACAGGGGTGATTCGGGGAAGATCAGACCATCAGGAAAACGCGTGCTGTTGTAGAGTATTTCAGCCATAAAACGGCACCTCCGGCCTTAAGTTTCTCCCCTAAAGTGTGTTCGGCGGGCGTACTAAAGAAAATTCATTATACATAATGGCTTTAAGTCATGTCACCGCAGAGCGAGTGCATTTCTGGGCTTCGATATTCATCACACGGGGCCCCACGAGCGGATCCGCGGCACGCTGATACTGATACACGTCGGAAGATCCCTGAGGATGCGTGAGCGTGGCTGGTACTTCAGATTAAACGGGTGGCTGTACTTGCGGTGAGATATTTTCATTTTGAAGCAGTTGTGGTCACGTCTCTGTTCACCATAGAACGAAATGGCGAAATTCTCGAGTTTAACTATGCCACTAGTAACCGATTCATGCCGTGTCAATGCCACGGCCCTACCCCGACTCAGGGATAAGGAATATATTCCCCTTCGATCGAGGCAAAATTACTCCGCCAGAGTATCGTTTTGCAGATTTCAAAGGCAGATTTAAGGCCAGCGTTTAAAAGCAACTCCCGTGATCTATTTCTCATTGTAAATGATCACTTCGACTTTGGGAACCTGCGCTAATGTAGAGGAAAAAACGTCTCCACGGCTCTCAATTTCTTTTTATCCAGCATAGGATAAAAATGTGATGTTTTCCGCTGCGGTTATTTTGATTTCCGAGGGACATGTGCACATATCCTGAAACGTCAGGTTAAAATTTGTTCAGATATCTGATCGGCGGCCATGTTCCTAGTGCTGGTTTCAGCTTGTGTTTGCGTTGGATTCGCGCTATTTTTACACAGTCTCATCTCGACACGTCGATGAATTAGTGCCCAACTCTGATCCCTCGAAAACAAGTCACATCAGAGCACTGAAACCTCTTATTGATAATTTCCCGCTGGTGTCAGCTTGCTTCAGTAGGACAGCACGAGCCGGCAGGTAGATGGAAAAACCAGGGGGCAAGTTGACGGCTTCGTGTGCATTCCACATTCAGCCTGAAGCTCAGACGCTTGACGACTGAATACCAGCCCCTCCGCTTGATAGAACACTTCTTCGCAGGTTATCGCCTCGAATTGTGCCACAAAACGGGGAAAGGCGTTATGAAGCACTAGGTCAATAATTTTGCAAGTGTACTCAACTTCATCTGAGTATTCCCCAATTTCAGAAAGATCTTTTGATGGGATTTGGATGGGATGAGTGAAAAGCTCGTACAAGTTCTCATGCTTCGGACGACCGTGCTTCCTTCTCACACAGTCCTTTGCAGAACCAGAGGCTTTCTGAAGAAGCGAATATTTCCGCGCAGCACCTCCTCCTCGGATCTCCTGGTTCAAGAGATATTTCACATGCTATTTTGATGCGAAACATTCTGAGCCACTAAGAAGCTAAATTCCCTCTCTGCCATTGTAAAACACAGTACTTTTCCAGAGCAAGGAGAAGTCGTGAACATGATCAATGTGTAGTTCCAAAGCTGCCCTAGTAGTACTCTGAATAGATTCAAAAACGTGCAGATTACTGGCAGAAAGTATTGTAAACCATGGGTTTTACTTTGAGGAATAGTTGGGGTCAGTTGTATGAAAATTCTCGGTCACTTGTGCTTTTCGTATTTCTACGCGAACTTTTTTCTCAGTATTAGGGCACACCATTACCGTGGAGTCTCATAAAAGGGTGATGTTTGGTTCGCTGTGCTGGACCCATTTCCGCGAAGTTCATCCATTTGATGAGTGTGAGAAAACCTAAATAGAGTGGAAGTTTTTGTGTAATTTTTTATTATCTTTCGTGCAAAATGCAGCACACCCCACCCTCAATGAGCTTTTAGGATGAGAAAATAGTGACGTGCGCTCGGCCATGAAGGGAAATTTGTTATAAAAACAAAATGAACGGTTACATCCAGCGATCTTATGATCTTATGCTATGATCCCCATTATCGTTACTGACAGTTGACCATTTCCTTTTCAAATGATGTACGTCTTCAAAAACTCTTCTGTTGTGAACTGGGAAAGTGTACATCTGGATTCCAATCTTCTCAGAATTTCAAATTTTTGAAGCCAAGGTTATGGGATAACCTCAGAGCGAGATGGCATAACAATCCTTCCCCTTACTCTCTGTCCTGTGCTAGTAGTCAGCCGTCGTGCATCTTTTAGTTTTTGTTTCTTCTGTGAAGAGTTCAATTCCCCTTTATTTATGACCCAAGTTCGGAACGATCGGACGACACGATGGGAATGGGTGGCCCAACTAGGCTGGAAGTCGTTAAAGGCAGTTGGCACGATAAATCGCTATACAGGTGTACAAAATGTGCAACTGGCTTAACAGAATTCCGTGACCTCGGACAGGCGCTAGCCTTTTCCAAGGAGGGTACCTCTATAACGCCCTATTGAGCAACAACTTTACGTCCCAAACGCCTTCCTTG